GTTAGTACAGTTCATGGAAAACCTGGAAAGTCGTGGAATTTATTATTTCAATTTCCAGGCCTGGAAAGTCGTGAAATTTAAGTGCAGGTCATGGAAATTCATGGAAAAGCAACATGCTTTCTGAGAATAAAAAGGCAAAAAGACAAAAAAATCGAAAAAAATAACAGACGAGTCTGAAACAGGCTTTAATTACAGTACAAATAGACACAAGCAGGCATTTTATCCATTATAATGCTGGAAAATATGTTAAATAAGTGATTGTTTTGATGCTACTGTGAGAATAGCTACTTAACTTTGGTCATGGAAAACCCCGGGTGGAAAACTCAGAAAAGTCATGGAAAAGGTCAAGCAAAGTCATGAAATTTTGAAAGATTAAAAGAGTACGAACCCAGCGTTAGATTGTCCGTGATAATGTTGGTTTTGGTTTTACAGCACTCAATCGAAAATTGTTCTACGCTTTTTATTTTGTTACGCACATTTCAATTCTTCGTAGGTAATTTCTATTTTGCAAGTGTTTCATGTACTGCTGATTTTTGTGGTTAGCATTCGCGAAAAAGAAATCCAGCAAAACTTTCATGGCTTTAAAACATGACTTAAATACACATTTTGTTGTTATTTGAAGCAATTTTGTCGAAACAGTGTTGAACTGTCGGCACATTTACTATTGTTATGCAAAAACAAAAGTATAATTTGAAATGTTAGTGCGATTTACTTTTTATTTAAAATGTTTATTCTTGTGAAACTTTATTCTACTTGCTCTACATCGGTACTAAATTTTGTAGATCACATCGGATTCGCGCAAAATTCATGTTTTATCGATTTTCGATTCCTTTTTTTGTTTATCGTTTCCATGGAAAAATCGATTGCCTTAAGAACTACGTTATACCAAACTTCAGTCCATTTCCAATTACTAGTGTAATTTTCACTTCGATCCCATGAAGGGAACACTTGAAAAAAGCCTTGGTATTGTTCAGAAATAAACTGTATCGAGACACCTTAATCGGAATAAAAGCCCATCAGTAATATTAGCTGACAGTTCAGCCCAAAGAACTTTTGCGTAAGAGGCAAGTTAGACATTGGTTATTAACCTTACCACTGCTTTAACCCCAAAACCTTATTGAGAAACTGATATGTAGAAAATAGATATATATATATATAATATTGCTCTTGGCTAGAGTAGAAATTGGGGAATTTATTTAAATGAGAACCTACTTATTACATAAAAGGATACCATATAACATCAGTTAACATCAGGTAACATCATGTTTTTGTTTCCAAAGTTGATCAGTTTTAAAGGAAACACTACATTTCTGATTTGGTAACTGTAGTATTATCACAAAAAAAATAGAGAATGTTACTCAAAGTTGTCCTTCAACAACGTCCATTACTCAAGTCATTGCAGAAAGTAGTTATTTTAAATATACGCGGGATTAGGGAAGCACAGAAAACATTATTTCAGGAAGTTGTCCATATCTAACAGTAGTTCCATTACTATCAATACTACTATTCCTGTTGTCTTTGAATGTAAATGTGACACCAGAACAAACAACAGTACTGACGCCGTCAATTCCTTTCCAAGACGGGGGCCCAGATACAACAGCATTGATTTCGTACTTAGTGTTCTTCTTACATACAACTGTAGGATCAAACAAAATTTCTAATTCGCAATAATTCCCGTTCCAGGACTGCAATAGCTTGGAAGAAAATGTTCCTGTTTTGGACACTAGGGTGAAATAAGGGGCGCCGGTTTCCTCTATCGTCAAGGCCACTGAGTAGTCATTATTCTTACTTCCAAACAAACACAGTCCATACAACATGATATCTTTGTCCACAGTAAAATCAAGACAATCAGCTGCTCCTCCATAGCCCCATTGATTTTCTGCTACAGATTGAAATCTACCACAGCGGTGAATGTTATAGTGGAAACCAGATCTCACGGACTCTGAAAATTCCAAAGGAGAATTCAATGCTGAACTGTAATATTTGAAAAAAGCGATGACTTCCTCTGGTGTCAAAATTTTACTATCAAGGACAGCATTGGCAAATTCATCTTGTTTCATCACTGGAAAGCGTATTCCTTTTACAATCGATTCTCCAATAATTCTTCTTTTGTTTTCGCCGTCGGTTATTAAACCCTGTCTCTCACATTCATTTGCTGCCCACAGATTGNTCCAAGAATTCTTCTTTTGTTTTCGCCGTCGGTTATTAAACCCTGTCTCTCACATTCATTTGCTGCCCACAGATTGACTGCTTTGAACAAATTTACCTCTTTTATGCTCAGAGTGTCCCTCACAACAACTGCTTCAAGTAAGGATTTCTCGATTGTCGCAAATCCATCTGATTTCACAGCCTCTTCTGTCTGTTTATCGATCACTTTCCAGCATCGGTCCAGCAGGTTTTTCTCTTCGTATTTCTGAGCAGAGGGCAGGATGCTGAAAACATTTGATGGATCTAAGTTTTCTTGAAGATATTCAGTGCATTTAACAGCCAGTGAAGGCACCATGTATTTCTTCGCCAAATACAACACTCCCATCACACTACTTCCGCTCAAGATCACCTCATCGCTGTACATGTAACGAAACAACTCCAACAGACTGTCGTACTCACAGTCAGGCAGTTCGATAGATTCTGTAGTCTCCGCCAGCTCACCGTAAAACATGGCTTCAAACACAGGACTGCTAATCGACAACACAAACTTGTGAGCAGGAATCACTTGTTTACTTTCACTTTCGCCATTGGGCCCTCCTCGCACAACAAACTTGACATCGCTGAAGAGATCATTGTTGAAAATGTGCTTGCTTCTGTCTCTGATAGTCGGCTTTGTTGTTTGCCAGTTTTTCTCGATCACAGACATGGCTCTTTGGTTTCAACAGCGATATTTTCAGTCGTCTGAAAGGCGTTGTTTCTAAAAAACACTCTGGACACTGAATAAAATGAACTGATCAGTCAGTCAGCGGTGGTGGAACAAATTTGCATCTTATCTTACTAACGGGTCACGCTTCACGCTAGCCTGAGTTTGGGTTCGTCAGGGGGATAAATTTGCGAATCGACAGCTTTGGATCAGCTGTAAATTTTAACCCAGTTTCCGGGCTCTGTCTGATTTGAAGTTCGCATCGTGGATCGTAAACAAAGTTGGCATATGAGATCTTTAGTTGGGTTGGCTTTGGTGGTTATTTTAGTGACCTTTAGTGTTTTATTCGCTTTATTTTCTGTCGACTGCGTTCTACACATATCACGAGAAACTCAGCACATCCTTCTGGCTTCTTTCAAGTGTAACTTACCATGTTTTCTTGTGATAAGAACAGTAATACGTTTCCTGTTTATGTGCTCGAGCATAGAGCTTGTTGTACAGTGACTATGAGATCAGCGAGTGATTTTCACTGTCACGAAAAAAGCAGATAACGAAATCAGTACGGCTTGTCACCTCAACATACAAACGTTATAAAATCACATTTTATTACATAGACACTTGTGTTTTACTGGAAAATATACTCAACTCGGAAGATTTATACGAAACTACATCTGGGACCTGAGTTGCGTTGGTGTAGCTTTTATATATCACATCTTGTTGGCGCAAAAATACATGTTCTACCGAATTTTTTTTTTTTTTTTAATCTGTTCCATGGAAATGTCGATCGCCTTAAATTATATCAAACTTCAATCTATTTTCAAGTACTGGACAGGTGCAATTTTCTCATCGATCCCATGAAGGGAAGATTTGTAACCCCTGAATAAGAACCGTTGGTACGATCCAGGCAGACACCTCAATCGGATGAAAATTACATCAGTATTATTAACCGCGCGGCCATGGGCCGAGCGTGGTTCATGTTCTACCCTTGGTTTATTATTTTTTTTAATTTTTTTTTTGTCGGAGACCAGACGCAGATCTC